AATGCTATTTACCGACTCTGAATATTTGACACCCCAGTCTTTGCAGGAAATTGTGATTTTTATCAATGAAGAGGCAATTAAATGCTGTCATTTGGAACCTCCATAGATCAGGGATCTTAACACCCAAGAAAAGTTCAGCAGCAGTTGCTGTCCTTTCCAGCTGGGAGGCAGATAACAGAAACTGTCCTGTGCGAGGCATAATAGTCTAACGTGATTAGAAATCAGGCAAACTCTGGCTTCTCTTGAGCTCCACTCCCCCACAGGCTGAATTATAGCTCTCCTACCAGTCCCACGGCGCTGAATGATGTCATGGGATCTGCAGTTCAGCGAGATGAAAGGGATAATGCCGAACCCGCTGGCACTAGGAAAAGCTTCCAACACACACTCCACAACACAGCTTGGGAACCGAAAAAGCTACAGATCCAGCCACTCAGTCCAAGCACAGGAGAACCACCAGCATTGCCTCTTTGCAAAAAAAAGAGGAGGAAAACAACGCGATCCATGTTTAACAAAAGAATGTGTGGACTAGGAGGCGGGAGGGAAACTACCTGCTAAAAGTGAACTTTCTTGATATCCCTGCATATATATAAACTCAGCCCTGTCTTTGATGTTCAGCAACTGATCACTGATCAGATTACAGGCATTTCATCTCTCTGCTCCTCTGCCTTTGATCTGCATGGTTAATTTTATTTTCCTGGATTTGAAGTTTCGTCTGGGCTTGTGCTGACATACATTTTTGGGACGGTAGAAGCATTTGGCATAGAAGTGCTGCCAAGGAGTAACTAAGTTGCCGAACGGGTGAGTACTGAAAAGAGCTCAGCATGTTGCAGGTACTGCGTTTTATGTTTTGTTGTAGCTTTCTTTGCATGTGTGTTCTAAGAAAAAGATGGTTTTAATTAATTAAAAACAAGCATTTCTATAATTGACTACTACATTGTGCTGCATGTATGTATCAGAGTAACTGCGATACTTGACGCAATTTTAGTAGCTTGTACAAGAGAGTTTGCAATCTGTCATGCAAATTTTACTTGGAAATAAATTGTACAAACAGGACAAAACAGAACAGTGCTAACTTTAGCATGCAGCCAGTGCTTTAGCCCCTGAGATCTGTGAGCTATAATTGCTCTAAGTATTTACAGGTTACTTTATTTAGTAAACAGTGGAACTTTGCTTGATACAAATGTTTTCCTTGTTTTCCTATATGAAAGAGTAAAACATATCTCTGAATACTGTTTGTTTAGTTTATTTATTCTCTCACCTCCAAGATGTAAATATCAATTACGTTTCCTTATGCAGTTTGTATACACAAGGGAATCACTAAAAAAGCATTTTAGTATGATTAAAGCTTTTTATGTGTAAAACTAAAGAATTTAAGAACAGTGAGGGTAAAATTGCACCAAGTTTGACTCAAAATGCTCTAGTGATTTTCTGTAACCTTTGGAAATAGTATAAGCCTTATTTACAGAAACATTCACAAGGTTAGTATTCCTAAATTAACATTTACTTTAAATTTACAGTGACAGCTGTTGCAAGTTAAAATTTGCCAACTGTTTATGAAAACTATCTGAGTAATCAACAGTTATTATGTTACATAAAGTATTTTAGTCACATTTTCACTTTTAGTTAATTCCCAACTTGACAAAACCAAATTATATTGCTGTACTGAATATGAAAGTTTACTGTTATTTCTTTGTTAATTCAAGGATATACACACAGAGTAAAATCTTTACACAGAAATGTAAGAATTCAATACTGGAAAAGAGCTCCCTGTTCACACTGGTTTGTTTTAAAGTTCTAGTCCTAAATTTATTTGGGCAGATTATTTAATTATCATCACAATAGTCTATTTTATGCTAGCTGAACCACAAAGAAATTATAAGTGATAAGACCAGTTATCCTTCAGTCTGAAATTCTGATGAAACAGGAAAGGTCTAATGAGTCTCATTTCATATGTAATTAATTTTTCAGAGTCAATTAATTAAATTACTTTCCTCCTGATATTAGGAGGGTAATTAACATGTTTGCTTAATTTTAAAACTTTGATAGTTGTTAACTGGTGGTTATTTCAAACCATGCTATACTGACTATTTTTGAAAGTGTGTCAACAGGAATTTAATCTAAAAGACTTAACTGTTTCTAGTCATGTGAGGAGAGGCATTTACATTTTTTGTACTAACAATGAAATAAATCATGTTCACAGTATCCTGCAATATCGGTTTAGGTTGTTTTTTAAAAAAAATTTGCATAAAAAAATCTTTAACCACAAAAGTAGTATCAACATTCAGATTCACATAAAGAAAATTAACCTTTTATAGTAATGACTAGAGAAGATGCCTAAAGAAATAGTATGCTTTGGAATTTGCTTGTTTAGTTCAGATGTGGGTTTTTAAAATTTTGTAAATGACTGTTTATTATGCTATAAGGTTCATGTTAACAAATACAGGCTCTGCTCAGCACAAAACAAAGGGAAGAATTAGTAATTATCTGATTAATTTAGGCTTTGTAGAAAACTAGCTTGGGCAAGTCAAGTCCTTGAAAATCCACTCCAGTGTCTGAATTAATTCAGTTAATTGTTTACTTCTTGATTTTAAAAGAAAGATGGCTATTGCTAAAGATACAGGTACAGTCTCAAAAGGCATTTCTTAATTAATTGCCATAAGATGACCTTGGCTGTGATTTAGTAGATATACTCCTTAATAGTTCTACTGAGGGAAACCCTTATGTTACATTTTCAAAGGGCTTTTTCCTATCTATTGCTTCAATGGCAGCTTTGTTAACTGCAGAAAGTCCAAGTCTTCAAAAGACTTTTATGTCCAGTCCTGATTCAGTCACTGCTTAGCTACGTGACCTTAAGAGAGTCACTTTGCTACTCAGTTTTCTTGTGTGTGAAATGAGGAGTGGATCACATCATCTTCGTGAAATAAGCAGGCCTGGAATTTTTATAGCCATTTTAAAGATGAGGAAACTGAGGCTATAGAAAAGTGACTTGCCTATCTTAACTAAGGTCACATGGCTGATTTTCCTAGTTCTTGTCCAGTGTTCTTTCCGATCTATCATGTGGGGTCTATTTTCCAACAGCTGCTAAAACAAATGCACCATGTAGCCAATCTTTAGTTTGAAAGATAAAGAGAGCCATTTCCATTGCAGTACATTTTTTCGTTTCCATGATAGATATGCCAGTCAACTGGATTAGTCTGATTATTTCCCAACTGCTCTTTTTGCTTCTGTATTTCTAAACTTTCTAAACACAATAACTGTTGCACATAATTTACCATAACATTTAAAATAATTTTCACAAAAAGTCTAATATATCAATGCAATGTGGAATTATATATTTGGGTGTGTGTGTCTGTGTGTATGTGTATATGTGAGTTTGGCATTGTATCAGCACGTCTTTGTGTGTTTTAAAGCAATTGGTACTTTCTTAGAAGAGAGCAATGGGATCCACAAAAAGTTGAATAGTTAATTAAAGGTTATTCCTCAAGGGAGATTCCCAGTTAGGATTTTGTGAAATTTCAGCTTGCAAATTCAGCATGGGTTTCAAACATGACGTGTGTTTCATACCATGTTTGATTGTAGTAAGAATCCTTGAACACATTTTTATTAACTCTTTCTGGATTTTTTCCTTCCTTGAAGAGAATTATATATTTCTTGTGAAAATTTTTAATTTAGTGATTGATTAAATTTTAGACATATACACTGTTCTCAAGGGCAAATATCTGTCGCTTATAATAGGCCTTGTCACTTTCATAAAGGTTCATACAAATCTTTATAGATTATTACTAACATGACCTAATATTTATTAATTAACTAATTATTAATTGATTCAATAATATTTATTGAGTACTTGAGTGCCAGGTATTCTAACAATATTTTCTAAAACACTACTTCATTTAAATTCACAACAAATAAATTTGTCATCCCCATTATACAGATGAGGAAAATGAGTCTTAGATGGGTTAAATAACATGTACAAGGTAACAGGGATAATTAGGTGACAGCACTAGAGTCCAGATTCTTTTGTTCTAGAGCTAAGCAATTAATTCTCTCTATTATAAGAATTACAAAGAGCAGAACTTGACTATAGCAAATACTATAGTCAAAATTTTGGCCCAAAAGTGGGCTCCAGTTTTTTTTCTTTGAACGTATTTTATAACAGCTATTAGACAATTTTTATAGCATTTTCCATCAGTTGGCCTAGAATCTTAAGCCATAAAGGACCTCAGGACATAATCCAATCTTCCTCTGCTTCAGGACCAGACCCAACGCAACCATCACCATTGGCTTGGTCAGATTGTCTCCCTGTGATGGCAAGGCCAGTCCAAGACACTCTGGAAAAATTAATGATTTGGTGCCCCTTTAAAGAGTGACTTTAAAATTTTGTCAGCCTGATTTAGAGGAATGGGTGAGATCTATGAAGAGAGGGCAGAAGGCGCTACCTGGTGATTGTGCTCAATTTCTCCACTGTCGCAAGTCATTCAGCTTTGGCTCCAAAGTGGTCTCCTTGAATCCACCTACTTGGGGAAATCAAGACTCTCGTCCTTTGAGCAGGTAGTTTAATGGCTTAAATTGAACTTTGATGAGAAGGGGAAGGAGAGGTCAGGTGGAGGTTTCAAATGACTTTATAAAACCATTCCTTCCAACATAACCACTGTCTTTGAGAGGAGTTCTGATAACTATAGTTTTCTCCATCCTGTTAAGGGTCTCCAGTTAGCTTAGCACCATGGGCTGCTGCCCAGCCAGCCTGTACCTGAATCCAGCTCTATGCAGAAGAGCCCACCATATTTATCCGGAAGGAGAGAAGGCAAGTCAACGCCCCGTGTCTTTTCTCATTAAACTCACGAAAAGTGTGTGGCCAACAGGGGGTGTTGGGGCCAAGATGTCACAAAAGATCAGTGCAAGTGCTACAATTTATAATGACTTTCTTTGTTCTATATATGTCATGAGTTTGGCATTATATAAACTAAATAAATAGCCTCCTTGGCCCTTTTATATATGTTGGTTTATGCACTTATGGTGGTGAAGATTATGTTAGGATTCAGGGAGCCCAGATTTTGATTCCAGCTTTATTATTTACTTGGTGTGTGGCCTTGAGCAAGTCACTGAACATCTGGCTTCGTCATGTTCCCTTAGCCCCACCCTGATAGTCTGTAATTGACAGCAGTGTTGGGAATTATTCAAATAATGGGACCGGGGGGTATTTCCCCCTTATTTTCTTAACTGTATTTGGCAAACTTTATTACCCTTTGAGATACTCACTTTTTTTTGGGGGGGGGGAGACAGTCTCCACTCTGTCACCTGGGCTACAGTGCAGTGGTGTCATCAGAACTCACTGCAACCTCAAACTCCTAGGCTCAAGCCATCCTTCTTGCTTCAGCCTCCTGAGTAGTTGGGATTACAAGCATGCACTACCACAGCTGGCTAATTTTTTCTATCTTTAGTAGAGACAGGGTCTCACTCTTGATCAGGCTGGTCTTGAACGCCTGAGCTCAAGCGATCCTCCTGCCTCAGTCTCCCAGAGTGCCAGGATTATAGGCATGAGCCACTGTGCCTGGCCTCTCAGTCTTAATTATTAATTCATTCAATACATTTTTTAATGAGTATCTACTATGTGCCAAGCACTGTGAACCAAAGAGACAAAATGTCATATTTTCATGGAGCTTGCATTCTATTCCATTTTCTCAAGAAATAGCTATCTACACTTGAAGCTACTAGAAGTCAGGCAATTTTGCCATTAGTTTTGTTTCCAGTGAGTTACTTTATCACTGAAACTATTTTTTCAAGAAGTGCGTTATTTCATTA